AAGCCTTTTTCAAATTTCAGAAATCTATCTGACTTTTTATCTTAATTTCCCTGTTTTAGTTGTCTTTCTAAAACAATTGTCTTTTTTTAGAGTAGCATTCCAGTTTTCAACAGCAGGGAGACCCGTGTTCAGCTAAGATCAGGTTTCCAGGGCCCCATTTTAGAAACAAGCATAGCTCAAATCATGCTGAGCTTAAGATCATTCCATGACAAGCAACAGAAGCTTTTCAAACTATGGTCAGAAGGCACATTTCATGACCTCTAGCATGAGAAACATTAGGTAGCTTGTTGCTTTGTCCCCAGAGAAGTGGCTTGTAAGAAAAATCAAAAGTAATGGTGCAAGTAGTGTTACGAACTGTGGTGGAAATCCTACAGTTTGCAAAATTGTCTCCAAAAAAAAGAAAGAAAACCTCAAGAAGGTCCTTTAGCTTAGTGATTCCCAAAAGTTTTCTCCTTCTACTAGGACTTCTTGAGGATCTTTCAGAAAGACTACCCAGCCACTCACAAGTGTATTGGGACATATTGGACCTGAAACATTTGGAATCACAGATGTGGGGCTACTTTTCTTTTCAAAAAGATTGCTGTGTAAACTTATGCCACCACTGCCACCCAGGACCCAGTAATGTAGACAACAACTTTGTGCTACTAGAAGAACTCATTTTCATATATGAGGTATCAAAGTAGAGGAAAACCAGCAAATGACAGACCATTTTTGTATGCTTGAAAATTTTAATTGTTTTATGAGATTTTAAACAAGTCCTTTAATTGTGTCTATTAAGATATATATTGTCAATCTTAAATGTGTAAATGTTAAAAGAAGGAACAATCAAGAATATTTTGAATCTGTATTTTTCATAATACACACATACTCTTGCAGTGTAATTTCTTCAGATTATGTAATTAGCAACTTATATATCAAAATGAATATGTGGTTCTTTGTATACAAAGATGAAAGTACTGACTTTGGAGTTGTTTTTCCAGTAAAAGGTATGCGGGTTGGCAAGAAGGGAGGTGTTATCAAGGGCCAAAGAGCAGAGAGATGCATACTAGTCCTCTAGGGGATCAAACCCATGCCCTTGGCACCATGTCCCTGGTACTCCTACCAACTGAGCTACTGTCTGTAACCTTGCCATGTAACATCTCAGTTCTGTTAAGCACGATTGCTCACAAACACAGCCTCCTTCAAGTCTTACTGAATAAGGTTTGTTCCCAGAAAAAAAAACTCACAAGAAGGAATGGGAATACATTTTAATTTTTTAGCGTTAAAAGTCACTGTTTTACTTTCTGGAAGATTTTTAGCTTGAAATCCATGATTTTGCGCTCTGAGGTGATCTACTTGGTGATATCTGCTCAAGCAGTCACTAGCTACTCTTAGGCTATGACTGGATTCCATTTCTTTTTATAAATCCCACGTTATTTCTGTTAGGAGGGTTTGAGGGCTGAAAGGGAAAGGGAGAACTGGATAGCTCAGGGGCCTAGCTAATGTCATCTGATCTCTCTTACCCCAAGCTTTTTTGAATTTGGCTCCTCTTCACACAGTCTCAAAATATGCACCGGCCTTTCAACAGTCATTGACAAGTGGGCTCTGGAATCAGACTGCCTGAGTTGGAAGCCAGGCTCTTCCAATTACTAGCTGTGAGGCTTTAGGTAAGTTGCTTCATCTCTCTGTGCCTCAATTTCCTTGACTAAACACTTGGGGCCAAAAATTTGAAACTTAGAATAATTCTCAAGAAAATTAAATGAGACAATACATGCAAATCACTTAGTCTGCTGCATACAGTAAGCACTTAATTTTAGCTACTACAATGTATCAACAATTAAAAGTTCCAAAGGGCTAATGGTTTTATGATAACAAAATGAATCGGAGAAGAAAGGGACAGTACAAATATGGGACATGTAATGCTGGCAGAGAGCTCATTCCTGGGTAAAATACAATATGAGAAATTCCCAGACCCTGGACAGATTAGGGTCATTTTCATACAGTTTGAAGTCAGGAAAAAAAGACAGAAATAACATGTTGGAAGGTGGCAGGGGAATGATGGTTAATAGGGTGAAAGGAAAAGAAGTTCTGAAGTTGGAAAACAAGTGCCCTATTTGAAGGTTGTGCTCAGGGCACAGCCCCATGCCTAGGGGCCATCTATTTGCCTTCTGTTCTGCTAGAGGAGCTGACCTTCCCCAAGCTGGCCACAAAAATCCCCATAATGCCAGCTTACAAGGTAAAGTTTCTATGCTGTTCCATGCCTCCTTTTCCCCTTGAAAATAACAATAACTATTAAAATGTGTAAGTTCTCTGTTAAATTCTGGTCAAACATGTAGTTTCCACTCCCCCACCTAGGGGGGTGGCGTCCCACGATGTGGCTAATCCCTATGGAGTCTCCAAGCGGCTAGTCTCCTACAGACCCTTGCAACTAGAGAGCTCAATGATCTAGTCTGGATTGTTTTCCTGGCCTGGACTTGCCCCTTAGACAGGCTAAAATAGTCTTTGCCATTAGGGGCCATGGAATATTTTTCCCCACACCCGGCGTTCAGCAAATCGCACTGCAAAGAAAAAAAAAAAAAAGTCGTGACTTGCCAACAGTTTCTCCCTTTAGCAAAGATTCTCTTCAGAGTTCCTTTAAATGTTGTATTATTTTTGACTCCATGTCTTATTTCTAAAAACTAAATGTAAAACTGTAATTTTCTACTAACTAGTTCACCTGCCCTTCTCTAGTTAAGAAATGTTAATTTCAGACTCACATTTAGAAAGATTCAGAAGAGTTTTACTGATCATCCAGGAATTCTTAAAGTGTGTTTTAAAAGGGATTATTTTGTGTGATGAAATTGTCAAGATTTGAATTATTGGAAAGTGTAATTTCTGTGGTGGTATCACATTTAAATTATCGAGAAAATTCGATCCAGCACACCCGGGTTTGTTTTGGGGGAGAGGTAGTGGTTGGTTTTCTCTTCACTCGTTAATAGAGAATTTTATTTACCGAGACCCGGTTCCTCAGATAGGCTATGGCCATTACACAGCTCACTGAGGCTTGGAAATTAACGAATGTAAAGAGGTCAAACTGTGGCATTGAAACAGACACGAAATAAACAAAATCCACCAATATGTAAAGATAATAATTGTAGAAATTAGAAGAATGAGTCAGAAATGGAGAGCTCGAGGTCAGCGAGAAGAATTATTCGTATAAATCTTGGTAGAAGAGGTAGGTAATTATTAATTAAAAAATAAAGAAAGAAACAGGAAACAAGTCCTCCCACTTCATTTGCGGACCCCAGAGATCAGGTGCACGGAACGCCGTCTGGGAGCTCCAGAGAACGTAAGCAGTGTCGGGAAATCTAAAGTGCTCTTTGCAGAGCACCAGTTTAGAATGCGGTTAGTTTTACGCACTGACTCCCATTCCCATGAATGTTTCAAGGGGCTCCTTCTCAAAGCTGAATCACGTTTGTGAAATTCTTTTAAGCCATGTGTCAGTCCCCCAGCGCTTTAAAGGAAAACGGAGGAAAACAGCTTTGGCACTTGGAAAAGTTTTGCAATGAATGAGCGAATGAATGAAACCCAGCCGGTCGGAATGCTAGAGACTGGAAGGAAAGCAGGAATTTTCTCCGCGCGCTGCGAGTAAGGCGTCTGCAAACTTAGGACCCAGAGCAGCCCGGGCTTTGGAGACAGTCAGTCTTACTCAGCTGCGCACCTGAGAACAGGTGCGGTTCTCAGTGAGCGGCTGGGACTTGGCAAGACCTAGCCTAGGGCCAGAGGAGATAAGGCCTGCTGGGAGGAGAGTTCCCAGCGGCTCTGTCCGTTCTGCTCCTGCCCTAGGCTAATGGCTTCGAAGGCCGAACTGCGACAGCCCCGGGGTGCACTCGGTGCCTTCCTCTGCTCGAATAAGGGCTCGCCTAGGACCGATCCCTAAACCGGTGGCAAGTCGTTTCACTCTGTAACTCGGTGGGTCTTTGCAGTAAATGGAGCGATAAAATCGGACAGAAAGAGAAAACAGACAACTAAAAGAGTCACAAGTGTTTCTTGGGAAGTCTAGGGCGCGGGTTGTTTGGACTGTGACAGGGCTGTGGGGCCCAGACTGGGAGCGGCGCGGAGCGGGACCGGTTTTCCGGGGCTGGCAGCTGCCTGGAAAAAGTTTCCTGTGGAACACTCGCCAGCGGGGGCGGGGGCAGGGGCGGCGGGCGCAGCAGTGGACGTGGGAGGGGGCGGGAGGGCTGGGGGAGGCAGCGAAGGGCGTGCTTGCAAACCGTTATAGTCCTTCAGCACCTCCCTCCGCCGGTGGCCCTCCTAGCCTGCCTCCCTGCCGAGCGCTGCCCACCTGGCGACGTGACGCTGCACCAATCCCTTTCGAGCTGCTCCCGGGCCCCCTCTCCTTGCACCGCCCCTCTCCCCACCCTGAAAGAGGCGCACCCTGAAGGGGCAGACACAGCGCTCTCGCCACGGAGCTCCCTTCTAGCTTCTTCGTCTCCAGGACGGACTCTCAGGCTCCTTTCTCGCCTTAGCCAAACTCGGTTTCCCGCCTCTCAAACTTCGGTTTCCTTCCACTCCCAACTCTTTTCACTCCACTTTCCCGCTCCTCTATCTCCCACGCAAGGATCCCCGATCCCCCAACTCCTTTCTCCTGCCCTGCCCCTTCCCCTCTCCTCCCTTCAACTCCCCATCCGCTGCCACCTCAGATTCTGCGTGCACCCTATTCAGTCGCCCGCTCCCATTCGGCTCGAAGCCATGGCGGGACCTGGGGGCTGGAGGGACAAGGAAGTCACGGATCTGGGCCACTTGCCGGTGAGTAGAGGACGCCGATCGCCCCCCCTCGAAATGCTCTATTTTGGCAGGTTCTGAGCACCGGGGAGGGAGTGGAAGCTCTCAAAACGGGCTGGAAAAGGACTTCGACGGGTCCCGCGGGCGCAGGAGGAGACCCAGGGAGCCAACGTGCGGAAAAGGCGCCCCCTGGGCACCAGGACGTCACCAATTTCCCAAGAAAGGCAAAGGCAGGGGGTCTTGGGAAGGAGAGACAGAGAGAAAAAGTGGCAGTGGGGTGGTACAGACCCTAAGCAGTAGGACATTTTAAACTTGTGACCCCCCTTGTCTAGCGGAGCTGCTGTACCTGTCCTAGCCCGCTTGCTCCAACAGAGGCCAAAAAGTGCAAACTCAAGTGGCTTCCTGAGAGTACTCCTCCCTGTTATCTTGCCGCCCCGACGTTTGCTGCTTCTTTTGCCATCGGAGATGCCTACTTGCGGGTGGGTGACCTTTACTTTTAGGTGACAGTGACTAGAAAATTAAAGCGTTTAAGTCCCACTTTTCTTATTTTCTCATACACTTTCTAAAATCTTATTATTGCCAGGGCAATGTTCCCGATTTAGTGTTGTGAGAGTGAAAGAACTCGACGCCGTTTGGGGAAGGAGTGAATTCTGCACACTCCATGTTTTGTTTTGTTCGTTTTGTTTTGTTTTGCTTTGTTTAAATATTGTGTTCCTTACCTAACCAGATTTAGCTTTTTCTTGTGGGTTTCCTTTGTGAGCTCTTCTTTTCCTGGATGCTCAGCTTTCTTCTAGAGTTGTACTTGATTGGTAAGTTATTATCGCCGTCGTGATTAGTAGACTTATTATTTTGGCAGCTCAGTTTATTTCATTGGCATCTGGTTTCTGGCTAATATTGGATCCCACTCAACAGTGTTTCAAGTTCCCTTTTTAGATTGGCATTTCACTCGCACCCTTTCTTGAATGCAAAAGGCCCCTGGATTCTCCGAAAGGGAATAAGCAGGCACCGCGCTGGAATGATCACCAGTCAACTGTAGTTCAGGGCAGTGGCCTGCTTGGTTTGAGAAAAGCTAAATATTAACCTTGAGGTTATAGGACTATTCAAAGTCGATTGACTTAATTTTACACATATTTGGCATTTTTAAAATGTGTTTTTGATGATGACAGAAGCCTACCTCCCTCAAAAATAGGGCATTTCCAAAGCTTTCCCTATATAATTTTACACTAGGTGCTGTATGTGGGGAGGTAAGGTGGTACACATGGGTAACATTTTACCAAATTGTTCTCTACCATTTAAAATAGTCTATGCAAATGTGAATTACAGATATTAGTGTTGTGATTATGCAGCTTCATAAAATATGTCAAAGAACTTGTAAAATTAAACATTTTCTCATTTTGCATGCACCCAGAATTTCTTCCTTTCAGTGTACATACATGAGATTTCTGGAATATGGAGGCCTCAATTGGTGGTTTCCTTTCTAAGCAGAACTTTCATATTCAGACTAGATTTGCACTCAAGTAAAAGTATAAAACCAAGAAATAAAATGGTACCCTTCCTCCAACATTCTCTGTCTATGGTTAGGAAAAGAGAAAAAAAGCAAACTAGGGCAGATATGTGAAACTGATGCAGGCAGGCGGGCAAACTGAAATAAACTCCCTTCTAAATATGACTAAACGGGTAAATGGGAAATACCTCATAGAAATAATAGGGCAGGGAATTCAAAACCTAAGGAGAAAAAGAAGAAAAGGTATTATTGCCACAAAAAAAAAAAAAATGGGGGGAAATGGCCCAGACTAACTGACCGGGTCATGGTCCTGGGACATAAGAATTTGGTGGAGTCCAGGAGATAAGAGGAAAGGCTGCAATCTTTACACTGCAGTTCAGTGGAATATTAGTTTCCTGGAGGTTGGTGGAGTGGGTGTGTGGGAAAAGTAGAAAGATAAGGTTGGTTTTTAATGTAAGGGGAGTAGTGAGAAGATACAAAACCTCAGGGCAGTGATGCTTGGCCTCATTTTACAGACTTGATGAAAGTCTCATAAAATCCTCAGATTCTAACAGTTTCTAAATTTTATACCTGAGCCATTTTGCCTCATGTGTGGCTCTTCACTCTCTTAGCAAATTATGCATAATTCGCTCTCTATCCTCAAACACCCAGATTCAAACCCTAAGAAATCTGGCAGAAGAGCAGTAGCGTGCCCTTTAGAAGCTTCTTTACTATCAAATTTTTAGACGTGGGAAAGTTATTGTTGCTTTGGTCACTGAGTTATATTTTTCAGCGATTTGGGGTTTCTTTACATTTGATTTATTTTCTGACTCTTTGAAGAAGTAAAAGCAAATGAAGAGGTAAAGAGACATCTGAATCAGTTCTGTTAAAGTTTGCATTTTAGGCCGGGCGTGGTGGCTCACGCCTGTAATCCCAGTACTTTGGGAGGCCGAGGCGGGTGGATCACGAGGTCGAGAGATCGAGACCATCCTGGTCAACATGGTGAAACCCCGTCTCTACTAAAAATACAAAAAATCAGCTGGGCATGGTGGCGTGTGCCTGTAATCCCAACTACTCAGGAGGCTGAGGCAGGAGAATTGCCTGAACCCAGGAGACGGAAGTTGCGGTGAGCCGAGATCGCGCCATTGCACTCCAGCCTGGGTAACAAGAGCGAAACTCCGTCTCAAAAAAAAAAAAAAAAGTTTGCATTTTGATGCAAAGCAGAGTTGATAAAGCAAGTAATGAAACCTGCATATGATGGTATCCCTTACAGTAATTATCCTCCATAGGACACATGTAAAGTTCAGAAAATTGGCATCTGTAAACACCAAGTATACCAGTTTGGCAACAGCCAGACAATGAGGGAAGATTCAAACCTTGGAGTTTGAAACTTAGAAAAAAAAAAAAATCAGAATGTGGAATAATAACTCAATACAGCTCTAGTTTAAGATTGATATATTATTTTTTTTTGTAGGACTAGCCAGCTAAATGACCACTAGACAAAGACCCTTGAGAGAGGATAGACTTGCTGTACAAATTGAGATTTAAAGACAGTGGTAGAAGGTTATTTGGTATTTTTGCTATAAGATATTATTTTTAAACCTAAAATAGTAAGCAGGAGTGAAAGCTAGGGAAACAAGAAAGGGTGAGAAAATTATGTAAATTTTAAAATTAAAAAATAACTTTTATACAATTATATAACTTTTTTGGATAATGCTCTAAAGTCAGAGACATAAAAAAAGAGAGCCAATGTAATTATAATAGATCAATATCATTATGTTTGTTAATTAATGGATTACAGTAATTTTCTGATTTTCTATTGAAAAAATATTTTCTATAGGTGTAAAAACAAAAAGGAAAGTGCAGAGATTTGTTGTTTGTGATTCCTTTCTGAAAAGATAAATACAAAGCTTTATGTCTTTATATATATATATCTCTTTGTAATATATGCGTGTATATATATGTATATACATTCACCTTGCCCACCAGCAATACCTTGGGATGTGCATGTATGTCTCCCTCTCTCTTTCTATCTCTCTCTCTCTCTCTCTCTCTCTATATATATATATATATATATGCTTGTGTGTCTAATATGTATGTGTGTGTGTGCATATATATATATATATATATATGCACACACACACATATACACAATACTATGTATATATTATTTCTAGTATGCCTGTGTCCTTGAGACTGGAAAGTATTTCTTCCTCTCCAAATTTGTCATGTCTTTCACTATGACTGTCCCCTTTGCCTTCTGTGCCCAGTATGGTAATGACATTCCTCACGGCTGTGGCCTTGGTATTTGACACTGCCATGTGTAGTCCTAACCTATATTGGGGTCAGGATTAGACAGGCCTTGAGGATAGTAGTGGCAGAGGTTATCTGAAATAGCACATGATCCAAAAACTATATTTGAAATACATTAGATTTATATTTAAATATAACTGCCAACTCTCCCAGTCTTCTACCACCCAGATCAGGCCTGCAGTCCACATTTGGTCATAAGAAATTTCCCACTTTACCAAGTTCCTTAGTCCCCTGTTTAGAAGCAGTTTTACCTTCATTTAAGTCAACAGTGATTGAAACATTCACCATAATCCTCAATTACATGTAAAGGATCACCTCCACATAACACTGTACATCAGTTTATTTTCTCAGCCATTTTTCTTCTTTGGTTTCTAGAGCAGTGGTTTTCATATGTTAGTGCAGAAGAACAGTGCACAAAAAATCAAGAATCATTTCAAGATCTTGGGACCCATCATCAGAAATTCTGATTTCATAATTCCATGGTGGGCCCAAGGAATCTGTATTTTTAGTAGTATTGCTCAGATGATTCACATGTAGTGAGAGTCTACACAGTCTACAGTTTGAGAAACACTGGTCTGGAGGAAGAGATTTTTCCTTTAACGTCTCCATGTAAATTCTGAAGCCCATTCCTCCAACTATCTCAGCAACTCACTCTGGAACTCATCTTGCCATATCTATCCCTTTCATGTTCTCTCTCAATTTTATTTTCATAAAATTGCTATTTCTAATATTACAAATAAAAGGAGAAAAGCCTCTGCCATCTCCTTTGAGGTACTGTGCAGTCTCCTTTTTGCAGCTTGACTGCTGGAGCATGATTCCTCACTCTCCTTTACTATCCTAAATTTCAAATTTCTTCCTACTCTTGTTGATCGTTTTTGGTTCCCTTTTCTCCTTAATCTCTGCCATATTTGGTTCTGCGGATCAGCCTCTGCTTTGAAATTCTCTCCCTTGACCAGTTAACACTGCCGTCTAGTGGCTCTTTTCCTTCCAGTTACTCCCATTCCTGGCTTTTATTAAAATTAGCCATCAAGGTTGTCTTTCTTCCCTGCCCCTGAAATCAGGAAAGAGAAACAACTCCCTAATATTTTGCGATTTCAGTGGGCAGCCAGACTAGGACTTTTAAACTGCAGGAGATAATTTAGATGCATAGAAAGAGATAACGAAAGTACAACATGTCTAACAGTTTATGGTTCAAAAATATTTTAATACTTAGATTTTTCGTAATTTATTGTGAGACAAGCTTTAGAAATTAGTTTATCCTTTACCGATCATTTTATGTACCCAAATGGGACATCAAAACATATCAAAACCCCAAATAATCTCCAAATTGATATAGCAGTCACAGGTATGAATATCTGTCCTCTTCTGGTTTTCTTATCTCAAGGTGGCAAGGCAGAGAAAAGGACCAAATGATTATGGAGACCTTTTATTTTCACAGTGACCAAAATGAATGTTCCTTTTCAATGCCCCCTTCCTTGGAAATCCAGAATAAACATGCTCTGACTATAAGTGCAAAATATGATATGAGGAATTTGGCATTTTTTTATTGCATTTTAGGTTTTGGGGTACATGTGAAGAAAATGCAAGATTGTTGCATAGGTACACACATGCCAGCGTGATTTGCTGCCTTCCTTCCCTTCACCTATATCTGGCATTTCTCCCCATGCTATCTCTCCCCAACTCCCCACCCCTGCTGTCCTTCCCCTATTCCCCCCAACAGACCCCCGTGTGTGATGCTCCCCTCCCTGTGTCCATGTGTTCTCATTGTTCAACACCTGCCTGTGAGTGAGAACGATATTGATTCTTCCTAACCATGAACATGGAATGTTTCTCCATCTGTTTGTGTCCTCTCTTATTTCGTTTAGCAGTGGCTTGTAGTTCTCCTTGAAGTGGTCCTTTACATTCCTTGTTAGTTGTATTCCTAGGTATTTTATTCTCTTTGTAGAAATTTTGAATGGCAGTTCGTGGCATTGTTAACCTTATATTAAGCATAGTCCTTCCCCACTTTTTCCCAATTTAACATATAGTCTTGAAAGACAGTAGCATGGAGATCAGGAACAAAAACTAGCATATAGAACTAATGAAAACAATATAGTCTTAGACTATATGAATACGAAGTTGAGCTGCATTTAAGAGGGAATTTTTTTAAAATTTTCTTTTATTAAACATGAATGTGAAAATAATTAAGACTGGTCATTTGCAAGCAGAAAACAAGTTTCCTGGCATAGATATGAGGCCTCCATGAATTTCTGCAGTCCTTTAATTACTCCAGTCCATTTCCTTGGTGTCTTTTTTGAGTAGTCAGATAACTATATTCAAGTCAATGTAAGGTATTTATGTTATTGCAGACTAGAGAAAGAAATAAAGAAATCTAAGATTGTGATCAAAGATTCACAAATAAAGGTTGTGCAGATGTTACACTAATTCTCTAATCTGTGGTATCTTTTCTGGCTAAAATGCAGCCTTAAATATAGCAACGAATAGTTTACCAGTAGGAATAAGCTAACATGTTTGATTATTTTGACAGATGGCCAAAGGCTGTTTCTCCAGAATTAATGATGTCTAAAATAAATTCCTTTATGATATCCATTGCTACAGTGATAAAGTCTTCAAGTCAGTCCCTAGTAACTTTTTTGTTGGCTTGTCTCTCATGAATCTTTCAATTAGTTATAACATCAGTGATATTCTTAATAATAAGGAGCTTGACTGAAGTATAATTGACAGATGAAAATTATATCTGTTTATGGTATACAACATGTTGTGATGTGTGTGTGTATATATATACACACAAGCTCACCCTTGTGAAATGATAATCACAATGAAGCTAATAAACGTATCATCTCACATAGAAATAATAATAATAATAAGGATAATATAAAGATATAGTTTTACTTCTTAGATTCTAAAAATTATCATTTTAGATAAATTACATTTTCATTGGGAGTATATTTCCTGAACTATTTGTTTGAAATGATAACTGTGTGTATTATGATCTCAACTTTGATGAGCATTTTGAAAGACTAAGCTGCTAGGCTGCTGCTTTATCTAACAATAATTTTATCAATTCAGTGGGAACATCTAGATTTTAGAAAGGGTAGACTATGATTTATATCTGTAGAATTTTAGAGCTGGGACATCACCTATCACAACACTTCTATTTTATATATGTGAAAACTGAATCTGAGAGAGAGTAAATAATTTACCGAGAGTTATATAGTTAATGGTAGAGCTGGGGCTAAAATTCAAGTCTGCTGACTCTGTCCAGTTGAATACTTATTGAATGATGTAATCTCAAAGCTCTGTCATTTTGCTGTAACAATTTTGCTAGATTACACAAATAACATGGAAGTTTTAAGGACTTTATAATTTCATTCATCTATGTTGCATATGCTCAATAGTTTTCCTGTTTAGCTTGTATTTGTCACAGCAATAAAAATGTTTTCAAACAGGATTAAACAACATTTGTGTATATAAAATAAAATTTCTATAAGGTATGTGAATTTCCAAGAACGTGCCAATGTTCTTACCATTTTGTGTATAAATTGGCATCTACTAATGCCTCATGTAAGTTTTGCTAAAACAGAAAAATAGGCTGCTAGACTAAAAGTTCAGTGATAAAATTCAAGAAACCATGTTTTATGGTGAGCAATAAAGGAGTACTCATATTTAAAAGTAAGAAAAAAATGCTTGAATTTAAATATGGAAGCCTCACAACTCTATCCCAAAACATGGCATGTTTTGTTTCCTATGATGCCACATTTAGGATTAAGTCACGTAAAACATCACTTTGTGCCATGAAAAGGTATTCAGCAGATGCAAAGCTTAACTTTAAAAAATTTGTCTAGTTTTCTTAAAGTGATGCTCTTTTTATATCATGATCTTGCTTTGTTTCGCATATTCAGAGATGGTATTTCTTTCTTAAGAGCTGCTAGATGTTGGTGCAAAAGTAATTGCGGTTTTGCCATTACTTTTAATGCCAAATCCGTAATTACTTTTCCATCAACCTATAATTCAAATTAGTAATCTAGATTTTGTATCCAACATCTAGTCATCACTGTTGCATGTTAAATTTTCTGCCTTGTCTGGTTATCACTCAAAAGATTGATATTAAAAGAATACTTCCATTGCAAATAAATGAGTTTATTTCTCTTTTATATTTCTAATTACATCGTTAATATGCCTCAGCTTTAGATAATTGTGTGCGTTTTACAGTTTTATGATAAATAATTACATGGCTACTTAATGTCCATATTACTTTTTCTTTTTTATAAATGAATATACTCAGTTCAAGGAGATTGTGACATGTCTATTTTTTGGTAAATGAAACGTAGGTTCTTCCCATGTAAAATCTAATGGAACAAGCCAGATTGGAAATACCATTTAACACAGTTGAATGATCGCCTGATTTCCTAAGAAAATTGACAGCTTTTGTTTCACTTTTTTGCAGGATCCTACTGGAATATTCTCACTAGATAAAACCATTGGTCTTGGTACTTACGGCAGAATCTATTTGGTAAGTTGACTTACATTATTTATTCATTCATTTTCTAATGACAACAAAGATTGTGAGTCAGTCATTCACCACCAATCAAATAATGCCAAAATATGGCATTTCACTTTGAAATACAAACCAAATTAGATAGCTCAGTGACATCTGTAAGAATTACTGTTTATTATCACAAAAGGAATGGATTGGCTAATCTATACCGAAACATCCAACCAAACACAACATCTAAAAATTAGCAGAAAATAAATAAAGTCACCAATGGAAAATGGAAATAATTCAAATAAGATATACCCAAATAAAATATCACTTGTTTTATAGTATGCATCCATACGATTCTAATTACTCACATTCAGCTGAAAACTGAATGTTATTAAAAGGAATCTTTCCATAACATTCTATGTCATACTCTGGTACTTGAGTGTGCACATGTATGATAAAATTTGCTAAAGAATCTAACAAGAAATAATCTGAATTTATTTAATGATTATTTATTAAACACTAAGTATGTGCCAGGTGCTGTGATAGTCTCTGGGAATAAAATGATGATCAAAGCTGACAAGTTCCCTGCTCTTTTGGGGCTTACGGTTGAGAAAGGTATGTGATTAAGAATGTATATGTGATATGTATGGGGGATGTTGGGTGAGCCACACATTACATAAGTAAGCACACAAATAACTATATACTTCTGTATCTGTGGGTTCCACATCCATGGATTCAACCAATAATGGATCAATAATACTAAAAAAAAAATTGCATCATGTACAGACTTTTGTTCTTGTCATTATTCCCTAAACAATACAGTATAACAACTATTTATATAGTATTTACATTGAATTAGATGTTATAAGTAATCTAGTCATCATTTAAAGTATACTGGAGGATATACATAGGTTACATACAAACAAAAATTACTATGCTATTATATATCAGGTATTTGAGCATCCACTGATTTTGATATCCACAGGAGGCCCTGAAACCAATCCCCCACAGATACTGAGGGATGACTATAATTGTAACTGTGATATATGATCTGTAAGAAAATTCTTAGTTATATAAAAGCATAAAGTTGGGGGGGGGCGCTTAATTTAAATAGAAAGGTCATTGTTGATCTCCCACTTCCTGGAAAGGGAAAGTGGCAGTTAAACTGATATCAGGAGGACAAATGCGAGGTAACCAAGAAAAGGTGTGGTTGTGGAGGATGATGATAATACATTCTAGGTGGAGGCATGGATAGTGTTAAGGGCTGGTTTTGGGATGGGATGCTTTAGTAGCCCTATTACACTGCACAGGTACCCTTCTACTCTTTAATATGGAGAATTGACATTTCTCAATCTTGTGTAATGTTCTATACAATTGCAGTGCTCCTTTTCCCCAGGACTGTCACTCAGAAACTAGATTACTGTCCTTAGGCTGATCCTTATAGCTAACTAATTACAGGTTCTCTACACATAGGTTATGTAAAGGTGTCCTAGCATAAGCCCAGAGAAAGGGGCTTCTTTCTAGTTCTGATAAGGGTGTCTTTTTTCTTGCCAAGTCTTGCAACTTTGGGACTACATCTACCCAGAGGGGCTTCTTTTCTTATGCATCTGCCCAGGTAGGAATGGGGGATGCTTTTTAAGCTTTGCATAAAAGCGCCTATAGGGCCTGGCACTGTGGCTCACTCCTGTAATCCCAATATTTGAGAGATGAAGGGAGGAGGATTGCTTGATGCCAGAGCTTAGAGACCATCCTGGGCAACAAAACAAGACTCCATCTCTACAAAAAATCAGAAAAAAAAAAAAATTAGCCAGGTGCAGTGGTATGAGCCTGTAGTCTTAGCTACAGGAGTCTAAGGCAGGAGGATCACTTGAGCCCAGGAGCTTGAGACTGCAGTGAACTATGCTTACACCACTGCCCTCCAGTCCTAGAGACAGAGTAAGACCTATCTCTTTAAAAATAAAAATAATAAAATAATAAATTAAATAAAGTACTCATAGCATAGAAACTGAGTAGTAGAAATAGCATGTGGACAGGTCTTAAAAACAGAAAGAACCTTGGTGAATATAGGGAATAGAAAGAATGCCAGTATTCATCATCAAACTTTTTCAAACCATTTTGACCATATCTATTAACAGAATCAATAAGCTATAGACGGTGATATGATATAGACTGAAATATATTGTTTATGCTACCTCAATTGCATCCTGTAGTGAACAATTACTTAACATTTATGTGATCTAGGTCAGTTTTGCCACCTTATACATAGATACCTACATCTTATAATGGACAGAATGTTTATGGTACATTTACAGTCTCCATGGCTCTATGCACATTTTAATTCCTTAGGGTATGTGTGAACTTTGTGTGTGTGTGTGTGTGTGTGTGTGTGTGTGTGGTATGTGTATACTTGCTCTGATTCAAATGTGTAGAGTCACCAGATGTGAGAAATAAGAACTTCAGAGTCATATAAGGTAAGAAGCAAGGTTAAAATTAGACAACACAGAAAGATGGTTACTCATTATCATTCATGTGATAATGAACTGTGATGCTACCAAAAGAAGAAAAGTAAGAACATAAAAAGGTAAGTTGTGCATGTGAATATCCTTTCTTAAAACTCAGGGTTTATTGGGATATAATATATATTTGGTAAGATTAACTCTTTTAAGTGTACAACTTTATGAGTTTGGACAAATGCATACAGTCATATAACTGCCACCATAATCGAGATTTTCAATGTACATCTTAAACTAATCACAGACTAGATTCAAGGAGTATTCTACCTGTTCACTGTGTGGTGTCCCAATTGGTGTGCTGTGGTTATGGCTGTCATATATTTTGCTTTTACATATGCCACAAACTCACAAAGCTAGTGTAGTTTCCCTATACTCACTCTTTTTCCTATTCTCACTACTACAATTTTTAAAATTTAGCTAATCAATTATCTTTTATAAAAATTAAAAATCAGAAAAAGTCTTTTATGTTTATCTTCATTTTCACCATTTCTGGAATCTTCATTTCTTTTTGTAGGTTCAGGTTTCTTTCTGGTATGTAGAACTTTAGCCTGAAAAACTTCCTCTAATATTTCTTATAGTCCAAGGCTTCTGGGTAATGAATTCTCTGCTTTTGTATGAAAAGTCTTTATTTTTCATTTTTGAAAGATATTCACACTGTTTATAGAATTGTGGATTGACAATTATTATTTTTTTCTTTCTCTCAACAGTTTTAACATGCCACTTTGTCTTCAGACTTGCACAATTTCTGAAGTCTGCTGTAGTTCTTACCTTTGCTCCTTTGTATTTTTTCTCTGACTGCCTTCAAGATTTTTCTCTTTGTCTTTGTTTTTCAGCAGTTTAAATATGAAATGTCTGGAGGTGTGTGTGTGTGTGTGTGTGTGTGTGTGTGTGTGTGTGTGTGTGTTGAAAGAATATTTATCTGAGATAAAGATTAGAGATCTTTAGGGCTCTCTTAGCTTCCTAGACATGTGGTCTGACATATTTCATTTTTTGGGAGAAACTTTTGGCCTTTATCTTTTAAAATATTTTTCTCTACCCTATCTTCTATCTTTTTCTTTTGGAATTACAATTTCATATGTGTTAGGCATTTTGTTACTATCCCTCAGTTCTTAAATGCTCTGTTTTGGAGTGTGTTTGCATGTGTTTTTTTCTTTTTCTGTCTTTGTGTTTCAGCTTGGATCACTTTTTTTCTATTTTCACTTTCACTGATCCCTTTCTCAGCTGTTTCAAGTCTATTGATGAGACTGCCAAAGACATTCTTCAGCTATATTACTGTTTTTCATTTCTAGCATTTCTACTTGACTTTTTAATAGTTAACATTTTTACTGAAATCCCCTATTTATCTACTCGTGTTTTCCATATTTTTCACTAAAGCATTTCATGTATTTGTCATAGTTATGTCAAATTCTGTATCTGATGGATTCAACATCTAAGTAATCTCTGAGGCTGGTTATGCTGATTGCTTTGTCTCTTGAGCATGTTTTTTTAAAATTTTGCTTTGTTTCACAATGTATTTTATTTAATTGACATAGTATGTAGAACAGCAGAGATTAAAGTAAACAGTATTTATTTCTTGAAATGGGCACACTTTTACAGCTAGGTTGTTTATATGGAAGGTTCCCTCAATCTAATAAGAAGATAAAGTACATTTGGGTTATGTTGTTGATATGGTTACTCTAAGTTCACTACCAGCTTCAGATTCCTGTTACCTTGTGCATAGTATGGGAGTTGGCCTTCTGGAGAGTTTTTCTTAATATTCTTGTTCTTTCCTCAACTTTACATCCTCCCTCTGTATCTGTGCCTCAAAGAGGTTCTCTCTCCATCCTGTTGTTCTCTCCTAATGGTATACTGCTACTGCTTCTTATTAAATGATCATTGGTCTGGTGGTGTGGGCAGGTAGAATTTCTATGTTTTTCTGTTTCAACCTCAGTATTTTAAGATCCTGTGCCTCTGTGTCATGGGAGCAGGACTTTTTTAGTTAGCCTTCCCCTCTTCTAGTGGTGGGATACTTCTAATTGTTTGGGCCCACAACTAATTCTTGCCCTTCCCTCAGAAGTGGAGGATGTTTTTTGCCCTTTTCCATCTGCAGTAGGTCTTCATCATACCCTGGGGAGAATACATTTTGCTGCCTTTCCCCTAAGGCTTAAGACTTTTATTCATGAAAGGGAAAGGAATTGGACCTGGTTTCCTACCTTGTCCTCTATGGTGACTTTTCATCTCCATCAAATCTGTACCATAAATCTACACGTTTGTATAACTTTGTCCTGTGTCTATGGCTTCCATGGGGTCTATACTCTCATGCTAACCCACATTTGCTCTTTAGCAATTCACTAAAAAATTTGCATTATTGTACCAAAATAGCTCGTAAACCCCATAAATATATACACCTACTATGTACCCACAAAAATTTAAAAACAAACAAAAATTTCATTGTATACTTTATACCTGCTTCTGTGGTGACCTTGTCTTCCCTCTATAGCCACAGGTGAGCTAGTGCTCACGTCCCATCTCTCT